AAAATACTATTTATATCGGCAGTATAATACTCTTTATATCTGCAGTATAATACTATTTATATCTGCAGTATAATATTATTTATATCTGCAGTATAATACTATTTATATCTGAAGTATAATACTATTTATATCTGCAGTATAATATTATTCATATCTGCAGTGTAATACCATTTATACTTGCAGTATAATATTATTTAAATCTGCAGTATAATACTATTTATACCTGCAGTATAAACTATTTATATCTGCAGTATAATACTATTTATATCTGCAGTATAATACTTAAGGTAATATAAATCGTACAAGAATTAAAAATATAAAATAGGAAACGTTTTATTGTTTTTTATTATATAACTGTTATTTATGTGCTATGATTTTATCGCATTTATGGGTGTGCTCATGTCAGATTGACTGTAGAACTTCAATTAAGCAAAGGAAATATCAGAGATTGGTTTATGGAATAATGTAACAAATGATTATAAAACATGAATACAAGAACACCAATGAAGTCCATTTGCCTTTCAAGCATATATTTAATTGATTTCCAAATATCAGTTACATTAACCAGTTTTCCTTAAGGAACTTTAAATTAATCTGCAGAATAATGATTTCAAATATAAAAACTTTGTCTTTTCCTTCATTCTTTGGATGATTAAGTCTGGAAAAAAAGAAATAAATCTCAAATTAGACATAATTTATTATATTTTCTATACAACATATTTGTTAAATATTTAGTTTCTCAAATGAATTTTCCTTATAACTTAAACACCGGTTAAGGGATGTGAACAAATTATATGTTGCAGAAAACAGTTTAGTAATATCGAAAATATGCACTCTATAAATAAGTCCTTGGTGCTTTAGTTATATACATATTAGTGTAAATAGTTTTAGTGTGCAGTATATTCAAGACGCAAGTTCAGTATACACAACCTATTTATAACTAAATAGTCACCTCATTAATACAAACAGACCATCTCCATGACTTCGTATGCAAGTATCCTCGAAAATATACACAGAATACAGAAAAGATCTCTGTTATTAACTATGTTTGCATGAAATCTCATGTTTAGACGATAGAAAGGAGATCACAATTAGCGAGAAATCGAAAGATAACTTCCAATAACTGGAATAAACTGGATGACAATTCAGTTCCGGTCATCAGAAAAAAATCAGTTTTTCATGACCTGAGAGTCCTAGACCAACAGAATTGACTCCTCGTGCTATAAGGAGAGGTGTGGAGAATGACTCTCGTGAACGGTTGCCACTGTTGCAGGACAGGTGCAAGTGTACACTAATACCATGAGAAGTTATATTCGTAGCATCACCTAAAAAGGTCAAGTGTACACTAATACCATGAGAAGTTATATTCGTAGCATCACCTAAAAAGGTCAAGTGTACACTAATACCATGAGAAGTTATATTCGTAGCATCACCTAAAAAGGTCAAGCGTACACTAATACAATGAGAAGTTATATTCGTAGCATCACCTAAAAAGGTCAAGCGTACACTAATACCATGAGAAGTTATATTCGTAGAATCACCTAAAAAGGTCAAGCGTACACTAATACCATGAGAAGTTATATTCGTAGCATCACCTAAAAAGGTCAAGCGTACACTAATACCATGAGAAGTTATATTCGTAGAATCACCTAAAAAGGTCAAGTGTACACTAATACCATGAGAAGTTATATTCGTAGCATCACCTAAAAAGGTTAAGAGTACACTAATACCATGAGAAGTTATATTCGTAGCATCACCTAAAAAGGTCAAGCGTACACTAATACCATGAGAAGTTATATTCGTAGCATCACATAAAAAGGTCATTTACGGAAGTCACTAAGTACTCCAGGCAAAATCTTACATTTACAGAATTGGCCATCAGATGCTATTACACTTTCCTGCTTTATTTTTCAGACACTAATTTGTTTCGTCATGCTCAGATTTACACAACTATCATACAGTCAACTCACTTAAATTTGACAGCTATCCTCCCAGAACACCTCTGTAAGTCACATTAACATACAACTATATATCTGGAATGGTGTGGGGGTGCCATTTTGCAGGTGCTGGTATGTGAAGGGACGTTTATTGTTTTCATTGTTTATGTTATTGTTCATTATTCCCGAACAGGATATTCTACCTGCCTACGCCAAAGACCAACATTGTTGTCATGCAGAATGAGACTCCAACTCCTTCATCCCGAGCCACAAAACGATGTTTTGAAAATTAGAGTGTTCCCATTTCTACATGGGCCGTGGTCATGCCTATTGACCATGTATGGCCCATACTTGTTCATTTCCTGTTAAAACATCCAAAACAACTGACTTCTAGAGACAACCTCATTCAAGTTCTTCGTCATAAGCTCAGATTTCAGATCTTGTAAGTACGATCTGTAGCCCTGTTTTTTTTTTCCTAAATTATACAAAAGATAGATACACCAAATACTATTAGTTATTATGTACCCTTTGTTCTATGTCTGTCTATTTAATAAAACGGCATTATTTCTGGAGTGGGTGTTCATTTATTTATTGTTGGGTGTATATACGTTCAGTACTATCCTAAGTCTAATATAGCTCAAAACGGGTTCTATTAAAATGAACTATAATTACTTTTTATCTGTTAAGCTTAAAGTTATTTTATAAATATTAAGCAGTCTTAAAATTCCATCTCAGAAGTTATGCTGTCTGTAGTGGGATAATTATTTAGTGTAATAAAACTAATTTAAAGTTACATTATTAGGAATCACTGCTTATTAGTTTGTGAAACGTTTTTATCAACAGATAATTTAATTTTCACTTACTAACAAACCTCTTTGAGTAGCTAAAACATATTTTACCATCAATTTAAAAGTACTTCTGACAGTGAAGATGACATACAAGAAAGTATTATCTCGGGGATTAAAATTTGCTCTCACTCTATAAAAAATTGGAGTTTCATGACTATCAAGCTGGATATGAGCCTTTGTTGAAAGACCTCAAGAACTGTGCGATTAATCCATCAACATAGATAAACTTTGATAATGTACGCACATACTTTGCTAGTATAGATTTTAGTTTTTATGAGAGTATAATCTTAACCCAAAACCATGGCGTATTAGTTTGTTAAAAACAGAGGTATTAAGGAAATTAAAATAAGGAGATTGCACTTAGCAAGCCTGATGAAGAGAATAAGGTTGTAATCTTAATTAAAGAAAATTACAAAAATAAGGTTGTAATCTTAATTAAAGAAAATTATAACAATAAGGTTGTAATCTTAATTAAAGAAAATTACAACAATAAGGTTGTAATCTTAATTAAAGAAAATTACAACAATAAGGTTGTAATCTTAAATGAAGAAGATTACAACAATAAGGTTGTAATATTAATTAAAGACGATTACAACAATAAGGTTGTAATCTTAATTAAAGAAGATTACAACAATAAGGTTCTTTAAATTATAAATATACTTACTGAATTCTGCATTCTAAAAAATGATCCAACTAAATTTAGAGAAACTAAGTTAAGTAGGTATTTAGGACAATTGGTTCACACACTGATATTCTTAATTGATTACCAATAACGCTTTTGTTTGTTTTGAATTTCGCGCAAAGCTACACGAGGGCTATCTGCTCTAGCTGTCCCTAATTTTGCAGTGTAAGGCTAGAGGGAAGGCAGCTAGTCATCACCACCCACCGCCAACTCTTGGGCTACTCTTTTACCAACGAATAATGAGATTGTCCGTCACATTATAACGCCCCCACGGCTGAAAGGGCGACCCTCGGATTGCGAGTCGAGCGTCCTAACCACCTGGCCATGACCAATAATGGATGAACTAAATTGTCCTATGAGACCTATCATATCTAATAATATACGATGTGTAATCCATTGAAACTAGCTTCGTTATTATAAATCAAGTTTACAGACACTTCAATTGTCTTATCCTACATCAAAGCTAGCAATTACCACATCAGTATGCAAACTTAACTCGTTTATTTTATGAACAAACTAAAAAGTGTCTTTAAAGATATATTCGTTAAAAATGAATTCCTTTAAACCGTTGTTCAAAAATGTTGCTATTTTATGGTTATAACATTCGATACTTTTTTTGGTACATTATACACCTCCTTTTTATGAGTTGAAGCTTTCCTGAAGTATTCGTTGGTTGTGCTAGTTATCACTTTCATTGGACAATCATTCCTGCTTAAATAACATTTAATGTCGTGTATTTCTTTTTGAATAGTTCAGTGTTACTGGTAAGTTTATGGGTTCTGTATACCAATATTTTAATCAAACGTTCTTTAAATTGCTTTTGTATAAAACTGTTGTAGTTGCAATATAAACCTGAAAAACGTAGATTTATGATAAATTCCAGTTTCAAACTTCCCACCTTTCTCGATGACCAGGGTATCCGGAATGGTAAATAAGAGTCTATTTTTTCCATGGTTAATTTATTTAGATATTCAAGAAACTCACTCTTTGCTCATTTGCTCTTCATTCTCAAATACAGTAAAATTATTATCCACATGTTGTTTATAAAACAGTGGTTTAAATTATTTTAACCAAGTCATTCCCTGATAACGCATAAACACATTTGGTAATATAACGACCAAACTGGATCACATTTGATCACGTACCTTTCTATTAAACAAAAAATGTGATTCTTTTGGTGCTATTTAACACAATTCATAAAACATTACCATTCACCGGTAAACATGCTTGAAAAGAAAGAAACAACTCAAGACTATTGTGCAATGTGTATCCACAACTAGAACTTAAGTCATCCTTAAAGTCGTCATCCGAATAAGGAACTATTTTGTAGTTAAAGGCAGAATGGGTAAACCCAATCACTCAAACGTTATCTTCATGTATAAATGCTATGACTGTTCTAGAGTATATATATCATCTACTACAAGAAGGCTGGCAGATAGAACCAAGGAGCACAGTTTACCAAGATATGTGGAAGGATCGAGCATTCTTAAACATCTGTTAGATTGTAGTAACATTCCAGTAACTACTGACTAATCTATAATTATTAGAACTAAAAATGACTATTTCATGCGAATTAAAGAGACCTTAGCCATCAGAAACTTGAACTAAGTGCATTCTAGTAATGGTGAGTTTTTACTGAGAGTGTAATGAAAACATTAAACTACTAACTACTAACCATCTGTTAAAGTATTAGTGTGCAAACAGTTTTGCTGAATTGCAACAATTTACTTTCTTGCTTTAATCAAATTTTAATATCATAACCATGTTTTAGAAACTACTTTAAATTAAGTTCTTCGAATTGATATGCTGCTTTAGTTTGACAACTATAATCCCTTCTCAGATAATTAAATTAAAAGCTAACACAGAATTAACATGCGATCGGATTTCAGTAAAAGTAGTTTTTAACTAATAAATGTGCTTCTAATTTTACCAAAGGTTACAACCTTTGCTTCTTTCTTATGTACGACATTATAAGTGCTGCCTTGAACTCTTATCCACAAATCATCCCCATCTTCAGATGTCCTTCATGATTTACTGTTAAAATAATTAATTTAGATTAATATGTATCACTATATGCCTCGTGGGAGCGAGATCAGTTGTATTCGTTGTTTCACTTTTTTGTTTTCAACTTTCTAGCATCTGTTGGTGAATATTAATCCCAAGGCGAACATTCAAAATGTAAAAATAACTTCACTGTCCACTTTAAAGTTAATAAGTTGATACATGTTAGAAAAATTGACTTGCGTATTTAATTACAGAAATAATAACACTCCGCCTCACGTCATTGCACTGCACTATAATTTTAAACTCGATTTGACAGCGAGAATAACGTTTGTGTAAACAACAATTTGAAAATGTTTTATTTGTTTTGTAATATTACTACACCTGAGTAAATAACGTATATCAAATACGTCATTCCAATGTTTAAACATCAATAGTATTATACTTCCTGCAAGAAACTATCTTCAAAGAATCTACCACCATCATGTTAGGCTAACCATCACAAGAAAGCATCACCATAAATGAATGATTATCAAACCAGATCATTACCGATATGTATTCAATAAACAAAAGGATTGTCCTCGGGATCTTATTTCCTCCTTTTTCCAGGAGAGTTTTTTTTTCTCTCCCGTGACTTTCATCCTGACCGCTGATTTGATCCAAATCACAGTCAAAACCAGGAATCTGTAACACTTCGCAGGATCTTTTACTTTAAAAGAAACAACAAAATACGTTAGGTATAGCTATCGGTTACAAGTATCGTAACATTAATCTTTATATCTTACCTTGTATTCGTCTGCTAATTATGCAAGAATTAGGAACACCATCCGCCCTACTTCCTGTGATGGCGACTTGGGACAAGAGCAAGCAAGAATCTAGAAATTCTTGATCCAGTACCAGGATTAGGGGTACTGAAAGCAAATGGAGAGATTGATCTACGTCTACGTCCTGGTGAGTTTTCAGAAGCCCAGAATTTCTGTTCATCTAAAGCACTGACAAGGTCCTTATAGTCACAACTAAGAGACATTCCTGCGTTCAGGAAACAAGTCCTTTTCCTACGAAAAAGTTTTGAATTTAAGTTCTTGATCACAACTACACATAATAAGAGTGCCGTTAATGTAAGATAAAACGCTGACTTGCCTGATAAACAAAAGATTACGATTATAGCAAAAAGAACAAAATGTGGCCGCACAATAACAGTAATATGCAATTTGTGTAAACTAATATTTTGCTAACTTTTTTTGTGGATTTTTAATCAAAACTTAGATCTTCTGATAGACTTTCGTGCTGTATATACTTCACATTGTTACTCTAGTAGTTAGTGCTCTATTAATAAACTGTTAACTTTGGTTGTTTTCTGTGTACTGTATTCAGTACATAGTTAACACACTGATTGCATATTTGGCTTTGTTCACTTCGTAATTAATACAGCGGTTTTCTGATCTGTTGTATTCATTAGTTATCGATCCGGTAGTTTTATATTATAAGTCTCTCGTTATATATTTATAACATAGACAGCCTATAAACTTAAATATATACATGTAGTTTCAGCTATAGACAGCTGTGATTGCAATATATTGAAACAAAACTGTGAATAAATGTTAATGTTAGCTTTGCAGCATTATATTTTGTTCTTTCTGTTCCAGGTTATTCTAATAATGACTATATGTAGATATGGAAGCCATCTTTATTTTGGATGAGACACACAGCCACAAATACATCTACAAATGGAGCTTCAGGCCTCAATGTAGTACATAACTGATGGAGCAGGTAAGACTTTGGTAAAGCATAAGTAGGTGGTTCTCTTCAACTTTTTTTCCTGATGCACTGGTTCATTTGGTAGCTCTAATTATCATGGCTATCCTCAGGTACTTTAGTGTTTCTTCCAGAGAGATGGCAGTGCCCACAAAGGATGGTGATGGTTTGTTTGTCCGTGTGTTTATTGTTGAGTATGTAGAAGATGAGTGTCTTCGGCAGGATTGATGACCATTCCTGTGTCATCGCACCATGTGTGTATGAACCATTACAATGGTTTTAACAGCTACAAAGCTTAACCTCTTTTAAGTCCTTTAGAATATAGAATATATATATAGACTAATTTAAATATTTTAGTATTCATTTTAAATCTAAATTGAGCTCTCTAATTTTAACATTAAGGCTTAGACTCTGCTAAATACTTCTTATGCCTAACATAGAAGCTGTAATCTTGTGAATATATGATTATTATTATCATTCACAAGTCAAACTTTGAAATAGGCCTAGTGAAAGGTACAGCGTTAGGCCTCGTAGGCCCTTACTGATGATCACTGAGTGGCAAGTTTTATCAAAATAAGAAGAGAGAGAGAACACAAAGTTTGAATATATATAAAAGTCCATCATTAGATCTCCATTTTCTACATATTACTCTCATGCGATCTCAAATATTTTGTCTATAGGATACACGAGAACGTTTTAGTTTTTTAATTGGTACATATTTCTATTGAACTGCACTTTTGCACAATCTACGGAAATTTTGTATATATGTTAAGTATTTATATGCATCCGTTTACATATTCTAATTTATTTAATTCTGTGAATGTAGATGTTTATTCACCAAGCAATCTCTAACCCAATGACAGAAACATATGACTGTTTTGGTAGGTGGCTGGGTATCCATCAGGCCCACAGATCCAGAAGCTTAAGAGTGAGGTACATGGCTGTGTAGGGCATGATCCGAAGATCATTTTGCCATACTGTTTTCTTTAATCAAAGTAGTTGTTAAGGTGTTTATGTCGTACCAAAGTTGATCACCCGCATGCTATGGTTATGTTATTTTGAGTAGTTGTTAAGGTGTTTATGTCGTACCAAAGTTGATCACCCGCATGCTATGGTTATGTTATTTTGAGT